ACTGAATGTACTCTTGTCTTAAATTGATGATCTCAACTGAGTGCTAGACTGCATGTACTCTGTTGTCTTTCAGATGAATGCATCGCTGTCATACATACAGCTTTAGATTATATACATACTTAGAATAATAATCTTTAAACACTGACAATAAACTGTTTTCCAGGATTCTTCTCTTTGGAGAGCTAGTTTCTATTCCAATATCCCCATTTTAATGTATTACTTTAATAGGTATATTTCACAAGGACAATGCACATTAATCAATATTTCTGTTAAAGTGCCAGATTTAGCCAGCCAGCTAATTTCCATCTGTAGTCCATGTAAATTAGAATTACATCAAAGTAATTAACTATGGATGATGATTGATTAACTGTCCGCCTCCTTATTCCAATAGGAATGACTGTTCTTTGAAAAGAGACACTTAGAATGACCCAGAATGGTAGAAATGTATTTAAAACTTAGGGAGGATTTTATGGCTGTTCTGCTTTCTTGTAAGATTTGTTTTATATGTATACAATAGAAATAGAATTCAGCAGTCAAATGGCGAATGTGCATAAAAATTGATGAATTCAGAATGACGTCATTGTTTTTAGCACTACCCACAGAGTTCTTAAACTACGGTGCGCCACATGGTTCAACGTGCCAGTAAATCAGCACAATTTACTTTTTAATGTTTTTTTTCACATTGCCGCGGTGTTGGAGCTAGAATTGGGATCATGTATACTGTGCTAATGACGACACAAAAGAAGAGTAACGGAAAGCAATGTACAATACGGCGAACTTAGCGAATGAGGCGTTGTTGAAAGTACATGGTGGCCACCATTTATATGCTCCTTCGCCATTGTCGGGGTCTGAGGGGCTATGCCCCTTCTACAAACTATATTTATATGATGAATACTGTACCTTGAAACGTCAAATGAGGAGCACATTCATGGAGAGATGGAGATCAGAGATGTCCATCGACTCCTTGTGTCTGTGTCTGTGTAGAACACTGTCAAAAGTGGGACGACGCTGTTGTTCATCTGAAGTGCTTTTACTGATTGGAATGATTGAAAATGTTGCTTTGATTCGTTCAACCTATTCTATTAAATGTGTCTAAATCAAATAACAAATTTGAGCGATCAATGTGATTTTTTTTTATTTAATGAGAGTTTCTAAATTGCTTTCAACACTCCTGAGTGGCGCAGTGGTCTAAGGCACTGCATCACAGTGCTAGCTGTGCCACTAGAGATCCTGGTTCGAATCCAGGCTCTGTTGTAGCTGGCTGCGACCTGGAGACCCATGGGGCGGTGCACAATTGGAGGGAATGGCTGGCAGAGATGTAGCTCAATTGGTGAGCATGGTGTTTGCAATGCCAGGGTTGTGGGTTCGATTCCCATGTGCAGCCAATATAAAAAATAATGTATTCACTCATGTATGTGTAACACCTCATGCGCATTGAGTAGTGATGGGGGCAGTGTAGAAGCAGCAGCCTGTTAGAGGCGTGGCTTTCAGTTTGTTATTTTTGCCCACCCGTTAGAGTGAATGTCATTTCAATTAATGTGGTCTATAGTAGTCATTGTTCAAACCTAAACTTACACACTCCTAGAATCTGTAATGATTATTGCGTAAGAACATGTGATACTTAAGAGCCTGCTAAGGTTTCTGTGTTAAGGAAACCAATGCTTAGTTTTGATGTTGTGGCTACTAAATGTGAAAGTCTTGTATAAAGAATATGTTTGGAAACATTATTTCAAATGATTGAACCAACTTAATTTCTTGATTTAGAGGAATTTGTTTAATTATATGTAACCCAACTGAATACATTTGGATAGGTAATTCCAAATTAAAAAGTGAATTTGGAACAAGATGAGAAAATGGGTTGTGTTTACATGAAATGCACTATATATACAAAAGAATGTGGACACCCCTTCAGATTAGTGGATTCGGCTATTTCAACCACACCCGTTGCTGACAGGTGTATAAAACCGAGCACACAGTAATGCAATCTCCATAGACAAACATTGGCAGTAGAATGGCCTTACTGAAGGGCTCAGTGACTTTCAACGTTGCACCCTCATAGGATGCCACCTTTCCAACAAGTCAGTTTCTCAAATTTCATGAAATATTTGTTTGTATTTGTTATTTATTAGGTTTAACCAAAGGGGGAAAATATGTTGAGTGTTGAAAGAAAAAGGTTTCAACTTCACATATAGGTTTGGTAATAATTAAATAAAACAGTTGGCATTGAATCATATTTGGTTTCAACAAATGTAGTATTTTTAAACTGAGAAAACCTAACTAATTTACTTGTGACCAGTTAAAGTAATTTTTATGGGTTGATCCAAAGAGTAATTGTTTACAGTGTAGTCAGACTGAATGTAATCTCCAGTCTGTTAGTTATTTAACGAGGGTCAGACCTTGCTAAGCGACTGCAGATCAGAGCCAGGTGTAACAGTCGGCAATCGGCTCGTTTTCCTAATAGATGGAATTACCTGATTAATTGGTAAGTGGAGTGAATTTAATATGACTGGAGAAAGAGAGAGAGAGAGAGAGAGAGAGAGAGAGAGAGAGAGAGAGACTATATTTCTTTATTTTTCATGGTTATGCTTTCACTTATTTTGCAGTTTCTCAACATTTTCAGCAAGCAGACCATGGATTTAAGCAGAACATGACCAGGCGGTAATTGTCTCTCATTTGCAACTTGGTCAAGCTACATTTCTCTTCCCATTAACTGAAGAAGAAGAAGAAGAAGAAGAAGAAGAAGAAGAAGAAGAAGAAGAAGAAGAAGAAGAAGAAGAAGAAGAAGAAGAAGAAGAAGAAGAAGAAGAAGGAAGAGAAGTGCATTACCATTTCCTCTCCCAGGTCAGAGAGAGAGAGAGAGAGAGAGAGAGAGAGAGAGAGAGAGAGACAGAGAGAGAGAGAGAGAGAGAGAGAGACAGAGAGAGAGAGAGAGAGAGAGAGAGAGAGAGAGAGAGAGAGAGAGAGAGAAGAGAGAGAGAGAGAGAGAGAGAGAGAGAGAGAGAGGGGGGGGGGGGGGGGGGGGGGGTTAAGTGAAACAAGACAGCTTCATGCACTAGTCTATTGTAATGCTCTAAGGGCACTAGTCTATTGTAATGCTCTAAGGGCACTGTCCATGGAGCTGATCTCTGTCTAGTTGACCACTGAAAACGACAGCTGTGTGTTAGAGAGAAAAGTCAAACTGATGTTACCCCACCTCCCCGTCCCCCACCTCCCCGTCCCCCACCTCCCCGTCCCCCCACCACCCCCGTCCCCCACCTCCCCGTCCTCCACCTCCCCGCCCCCCACCTCCCCGCCCTTCACCTCCCCACCCTCCACCTCCCCATCCCCGGTAGACACCGGTCCCGCCGAAGCCCGTTTGACCTTGCCGTTAAAAACCAAACAGCCACGGTCATCTGCAGAGACTGTTAATTAACTGTGGCGCGGTGAGGCGGTGGGATTTATAGGTCCATCATCATTCTCCTGGTCTTAGTCATGGCGGTGATGAGATTAAACTATATTCCGTTCTGCCATAATCACATCACCGTTCCCGCCGAGGTACCCGCACTCTTTTTATTAGGTGGTGTTGAAACGTTCTCCTCTCCAGGCAGTTAGCCGTGCTTTATAAGTTTGGTAATGTGACGAGATGTCTCTTCCCCCGAAGTGTTTCAGAAACAGATATACGTTTCAGAACTTCCAGAGTTCTGTTCGAACAAAGTCTCAGAACTTTTAGAATGTCCCTCAGAATGCTCTAAAGACTGCAGAGATGGTTATTCCATAGATTATTATTCATCAACATTTTAGTCATTTAGCAGCCACTTACAGGAACAATTAATCATATTTGGCCATATTTCTAATAGACATTTACGTCATTTAGCAGACGCTCTTATCCAGAGCGACTTACATGAGCAATTAGGGTTAAGTGCCTTGCTCAAGGGCACATCGACAGATTTTTCACCTAGTCAGCTCGGGGATTAGAACCAGCGACCTTTCGGTTACTGGCACAACGCTCTTAACCACTAAGCTACCTGCCGCCATGTAAAATGTTGCAAATTAATAAAGTAGAGTAGGCCTATATGCAACCATGATTCAGATTGTAGTCATTTTACAATAGGCTACAGTACATTGATATTGGAGGTGTGAAATGGGTCGTTATGAGAAGTTAAGTAATTTATGGAGAAACGCCAATGAGATCCCAAATGTACCATCAGTTCATAAAGGTAAAGGGGTTGTTAGACATCATGACACATGGAAGTATATGACATCAGTTTAACACCTAGGGATTGGTCCACCTGCCACTCTGGCATGGCACAGGTTACCATGCACACATGGACACATCCACCTCTCCCTCTCTCTCTCTCTCTCTCTCTCTCTCTCTCTCTCTCTCTCTCTCTCTCTCTCTCTCTCTCTCTCTCACACACACACACCCTCCTGTATCTCACAAGTTATTTGTGCATCGAAAACATATCTATCAGATTGTACTAACTGATTGTACAGTACAGAGGCATACCATACCAACTATTATTCATATTTCAGCATATGCAGTTTTGTTTTTAATAATAGAGACCTTTTCTACTGTTATTCCAGATTATACATTTAGTTTTCGTTACCTTCATACTGATAAAGTAGTTCAGAATAATCTGTAGAAGGAACTCAAACTATTTATTCTGTTGTGAAGCTATTGCATGATTCAAATAAGATACGCAGGCGGCACAGTACATTTCTATTTTAAAAGTATCATGTTCTCATGTGGTAGATAAGCATGTTCTCTTTTGTGTTGTAAATGATATATTTACAGACATGTACATTCACGTAGATGTACAATATGGTTCGTATTGCCTCCTCTTCAACGTAGGCCTATTGTCCTTCTTGAATAGTCTGTTGTTTTCCAATGTCATATGCCAAGTATTATAAACGTCTACAGTTGATAACAAACTGATTATAATAGTTCATCCCTTCAAGGACAGTTTATAGATCAAAAGAATGGTTGACAATGGCATAGATTGACGAGTGAACGTTGAATGTTAAACGGCGACGTTAGCCAACCGGGGATCAGAGTCCTGCTCGTACCGGTAATGGTAGACTTCCATCTGGTCGCGGCACGCATCGCGGATGTTGTTGAGCCACCGTTTGATTCCTCTCCGGTTTAGATAGAGCACCATGAGGAACACTATCCCGATCAGCGCCAGGACTATCCCTAGGAACACGTAGGACACCGCCTCCAAGTTCTCATTGAGACAATCCACATCCTCGCCGCGTAACCGCTCTAGTGGAATCCCCTTCTTGGCATCAGGCTCCGCGCACTGGAGGCGCGCAGCGTCCACGCACTGAGAAGAGTTCTTTAACCAGAAGTAGAACGACTCCAGCTCACAGTTACACCTGAACGGGTTTAGTGATAAATAGATGCGCACTTGCTTGTGATGGTACAAACTGGAGACGTTCTCTTTACCAATGTTCTCGATTGAGTTATTGGTTAAAACTAAAGTGTGGAGGTTGAATGCATCCAACCTTGCAATGGGTAGGGTTTTCAACCGGTTGCCAGATAGCTCCAGCCGGTGGAGGTTGCATAAATGTTCTCCATGCAGCGCATTGGAGAGCTGCGCCACAGCCGGCTCAAGGAGAGAGTCATTCAGGGAAAGAGAGCGGAGCTCCTGCAGACTGTGAAACGCTCGGTCTGAGATGTACACCAACCGATTGTGGCTCAAATCCAGCAAATGCAACCGTGGGAGTCCTGTGAAAGCGTCAGCCTCGATCACCATGATTCCATTATGTGATAGTGAGAGGGTCGTTAGGTCGAGCTCCGTACCGTTATTCGAGGAGAACGCTCCACCCGGTAAGGTTGAGATGTTGTTCCCCCTGAGTATTAATGTGGTTGCCCACGCCGGTATGTCTCCCGGTAACTCGGTGTCCTCTCTGTCATGGCAGGTCACTGTCCCGGAGTCTCTGGCACAGATACAGGATAACGGACACTCATACTCTGCTCTGACAGAAGAAAACAACAACAACAAACAGACAAACACCGCCGATAAACAAAAACACTGGCCTTTCAGAATAGGAAGAACGCCTCCTAAAACGTCACCACAATAATACTTCCATGTCGTCTTCCTTCCCATATTTACAGTAGAGGTCCAAACATACAGGGAGACCGGACACACTCCAGTCTCTGTGGCCACAGGTCAAGTAGTCTCTTCGGTCAGTTGGATGACAGAAAAACACTCAGTAGTCTGTATTCTTCTTCGTTCTCATGTTCCCTCTCTTTCCAAAAATGAGTGAGATGGTGGAAGAGGAAGAGGCTGCGAGTTTGGGCGCGTGGACAGCAGCTCCTTCTCTCTCTCTCTGTCTCTCTCTCTCTCTCTCCCTACCTCTCTTTCACCCCCCCTCCCCCCCCCCCCCCCCCCCCTCTCTCTCTGATGTGTTTTTGACGTCTCGTTTAGTGAATGAGTGAGTGAGTCGGACAGACAGAGGATAAATACCTGTAGCGCTCTCACAGACTCACACAGCACGTGCAGACAGACAGGCAGACAGGCAGACAGGCAGACAGACAGACAGACAGGCAGGCAGGCAGGCAGACATACAGTTGCATTCTAAATCTCCCAAGTCCACCACAACTTGTGATGGAGAGAACACAACTAACCAAGTTGAGCTGGTAGAGAGAGAGAGAGAGAGAGAGAGAGAGAGAGAGAGAGAGAGAGAGAGAGAGAGTGTGAGTGTGTGTCGTTTTAGGTTACCAGAACAGAAGAGGAGACTTGACAGTTGACACTGGTCCTGGCTAGGGATAGGTTTTGCATTTTAAATCCTAGGCTAATGAATAAGGGGGGGACCTGATCCTAGACTCCTACTCCTACTCCTACTCTGAGAAGCTTTATGAATACGGGCCCAGTAGTTTTGGCTGACTCACTGCTCTGTGAATCACCCTAATGATAACAGAGGCAAAATACTAATGTTCGTGTCATACTTCGGTTAAACAATGTCTGTTGTTCTGTGAAAATGTGGTTCGTAAAACCAGGGTCTGGTGTCTCGATGAGAGATGCCCTCTCACCTCGTGCCTGTTCCACCCGGTAAGATTTAGGGATCGCGGTGAAAGAGCGCAGTACATCAGGGACATCTACGCCACTGGTGGCGGGCGTGACAATTTATCGCCTGCCTGGCGGCCTCAAGGAGAAGCGGTACAGTAAATTCCATTTCGCATCATACTTCAATTATAATGGCCACGGATTTACAGCGGCCCCTTGCTTGTTGCAAATCAGTGGCGGTAATTACGTTGGCCAAGTGTTTGTGTGTGTGGTGTGATTACGTCGGCCAGTATGTGTGTGTGTGTGTGTGTGTGTGTATAGTCAATCCTGTTTAATGGGCTTCAACCAACGGCTCTGTGATGTATAATTGTGCTACTGGAGTGCAGCAACACACTTTTACCAACTTGTTTATTAATTTACCCACAAGGCTACAGCTACTACATAATACTGGGTTATTTCCTTTTAAGTATATGATTTGTGTCGATTGATATTTGATATATTTTTACAAATTAATTTATTCACACACAGAACTCTTCACAAGGATTCATCTCATTGGACAGCAGCCACCACACAGAACCACTGGATAGGATATCAGCAGCACCGCCTGGCTACGTCCCAAAATGCACCCTATACCCTACATTAAAAAAAACATTTTTGTAATTTAGCAGACGCTCTTATCCAGAGCGATTTACAGGAGCAATTAAAGAACCTCCTTAGTTGGTGGGGGGGTTCTTGCAGGAACCTAACTGCCCAAGTGAAACATTTGGATTTGAAAGGACACCAGGTGCAGGCACTTAACTGAAAAATGTAAAGATCTCCTCAATTTAAGGTAAGTTTTGTATGACTGAAATTGATATTGTTTTATCTATCTTTTTATATTTGTCCAAATCTTTCTAAAACAGAAAATGGACACAATTCAATGGATATCAATCAACAAAGAGGTAATAATATGTATGCTATAAGAATATGTTGAGCCTCCTGAGCCTCCTGAGTGGCACAGTGGTCTAAGGCACTGCATCACAGTGCTAACTGTGCCACTAGAGATCCTGGTTTGAATCCAGGCTCTGTCGCAGCCGGCCGCGACCGGGAGACTCATGGGCGTCGCACAATTGGCCCAGCGTCGTCCAGGGTAGGGGAGGGAATGGCTGGCAGGGATGTAGAGCAGTTGATAGAGCATGGCGTTTGCAACGCCAGGGTTGCGGGTTCGATTCCCATGGGGGGCCAGTATAAAAAAATATGTATTCTCTAACTGTAAGTTGCTCTGGATAAGAACGTCTGCTAAATGACGAAAATGTTGAAGGCTAGCTGTATTGGGTGCAGATGACTGAACTGCCCTCTTTTGTGTCTGTCTGCATGTATAAAGACGAGGAGTCATACAAAGGTATGTCAATTGGTATTGGTATATTATTATTATTTACCATCCTCCTCCCTTACCTCTTCAATGAATATCCCATAGTCCTCTACATTGTGGACAAGCTATGTGTATGAAAAGCCTTTTCATTATCTGGATAGACACCTGTGGTTTTTAGCTAACATTACACCAATCAAAGCAGTGGAGTGTGTAGAGAAGCAACATTTTGGTGGTCAAAACCATTCATCTTGGGGTGATGGGTGGAGCGGGTTTGCAAAATGCTATCATATTACACAATTATAGAATTTATAAACTGGTCAGATATCTATATTTTTAATACAGACTAGCTCAAAAAATGAGTGAAAATTCATAAATTATCCAATGGATTATGATAATTTTCTGTTGGTGAAAAAACATAAGTTTGCACCCCCTATTTTAATTTCCTCCAGGCGGCCAAGTGGACACAAGGCTGTTTGGCTCATCTCAGTCACGAAGAGGAATAACTTTGCAGCGGTTTCTGATTAATAAACAGTGTCGTGCTGGTGGGTGGTAACATTCAAAACAAAACCCAGCCCTCTGAAAACAAAAGGCAGGATGAAAAGAATGTGTGCATCATATCACAGGAAATAATAGTAGGCTTACAGCTGGTATAGCTAAATCCAAGAAACGTGAATCCTCCTTCAGACAGGGGTATCCAGCTCTGTGCAACTACAACCAGCAGGCACCGGGGTGTTTTGCCGTTACAGTAACACGTGCACGAACCTGAACTGGAGAGGTCACACGGATTTGCACGAAGTGGGCAGTTCAAATTTGTCACTTCAAATATATCATACGTTTGACTAAAACTATTATTTATTGACTTAAACCTAGATTCGGCTAAATGAAGTTGCCACGAGCAGAACTGCAGATATTGAGATGAGCGAGGTTTGCAAGACTTCGCTCTCACAGTCACACACACACAGTATCTGCACATGTTGCACGGCTTCGCTTCACGCTGTTACATCGTGGTAGCCAGGGCACCAAAACAGCGGAGAAGTTGAGCATTACGCTTCAACGCTCTTAGCTGTTGCGGAAATTTGACCCACTATGCTGTTTACTTTCTGCATCTAGGTCATATCGCTGAGTCTACCTTTAACCCATTGGGCAACATCATGGGCACGCTCTGGCCATCGTCTTTGAGCTTGAAAAAGTGGATTTCTAGGATTTTCAGTACATTTATCTAAAGCCATCCTTTTAAAATTTGCTGTACCTTTTAATTCAGATTTTCTTGACAGACTCACTGTAATATATGGAGAGAACGGTTAAGAATATTAGGGCTCAATGAAAGAAAGCCATGTAAATGCACACATATTCTTCTCCTTTTCAGCATCAATTGGTAGATAAAAAATGGTCTGATATTGTATATTATGTAGGGTTAGGAATGTATTTATGAATAGCAATAAAAAACTGGTTTGGAGAGCCTTTACGCACAAAATATATTGGTGAATAAAAGATATAGTGGTTTGATTCATCGTGAAAGTTGCCATATTACATTTTTCAATCCATTAATTATTGGAAAATGAGAAAAGTGTACAATAGTGGTTGAACAGTAGTCCTTTTAATCTACCCAAATAATCCTCAGTAATCAAGGAACTGTGATGACAACGGTCCAGTCGTCATGAACCGTACGCCAGGCTCCAGGTTTAAACTGCTATTTATGGTTTGTGTTCCATAATGGGTCCAGATCTAGAATTCTAAATAATGTCACGGGTCTGGGTCAGATCGGATATGATTGTCACGGGTCTCGGGTATGTGTAATTTTAACTGTCTTGTCCAGAAGGGCCTGTACAGATCCGAACGTGACTCAGAGAGAGAGAGAGAGAGAGAGAGAGAGAGAGAGAGAGAGAGAGAGAGAGAGAGAGAGTGAGAGAGAGAGAGAGAGAGAGAGAGAGAGAGAGAGAGAGAGAGAGAGAGAGAGAGAGAGAGAGAGAGAGAGAGAGAGATTTTATAATTTATGCTGCTGCTCTTGCTTTTCCCAGTGTGGTGCATGGAGCTTGTTGTTGTTGGCCAATCACAAGTCAGCAAAGCTGCAATAGGCTACGGTCATTGAGCCTCCATGTGTGGCAAAAGTTAGGAGATATCTAATGAATGGAAGATGGAATTAAAATGATGGAATTAAAAGTTAAAGGTGAAGGATAGGCTTCAACAACCAAGAGCCAACAGGTAGGCTGCTGCTTAATATTCTGAATGGAGTTGTTGTTATGTGTAACTGTAGGATGAGGAATCGTATGCACTGCAGCCCCAATTAGCCTAGCTAGCTAACGTTAGCTATCTTAACTTGCATCTCTCGGTTTGATGCAGTCAAGACAGGTAGGTGCTACGTAATCATATTGGATGATAAATAACCTAGCTACGGCAGCTATTAGTCTACTATAGTGTGAGTCCACTTGTTGGTTGGTTGCTGTCTCTAGTCTCTCCCTCCCTGCTCCCTGCTGCCCGTGTCACTCGCTCACAGTAGGCTACAGCCCCTCCCCTGCATCCTGTCATGCCAATTTATGCATATCGCGTCCGGGTGGGAAGCCCCAGGTCCCTTTAGGAACAGGTCAAACTTTTTGGACCCATGAAAACCTCTATAAACAACCATCCTTGCCTGCCAGAACTGGAGAGGTGACTCTGTAGACACAATCTTCGATGCGAGGAAGCTATATTTCTGAAGCACTGTGGTCGAGATGCTTGCTGGACTAATCGTCCTGGCATCTTCCTGGGGTCCTGCTGCTCCATGGCTGTACTCTCTGATTTGCTGAAGTCACAAAATACTCTCATCAGTGGCTCCATCTCTGTTGAGTGAAGTGCCAGAGATACAATTGGGTCCATCAGGCAAGCTGCTTCAGAGGTTGGATCGAAGTTGGCTGCCAGATGATTCAGCATGCATACGAAGCGCTCATGACTTCAGGAGGACCTGTGCCAACTGTTTTGCAACTGTAGTTGACTGAAAGTGTGCCTCAAGGTTGAAAAGGCACGGCACCACATCAAGACAGCGACTGGCTGTCAGTTTGAAGTTGGTCGGTGTGGATTGCTAAAGGCTCCAGCAACTTCACAAGCTGTTCTAGCTTGGCCCAGTTACGCTCCGTGCTCGCCCTCAGATTTCTTAATTGTTAGCTACTGATAGCTAGTGAAAGTGATGCACAAGCTAGGCCTATTTGAAACATTGGCATCTACACTCTAAAAATGAGGGGTTAAACAAGGGTTCTTCTAAGATCCTCAAAGTTCTTCGAAGAACCTTAGGGTTGACTGCCCTTGACCAGCACAAAAACATCCTGTGGCGTACTGCATTAGCATCGAACAGCCCCTGCGATATGCAACTTTTCAGGGAAGTCAGGAACCAATATACACAATCAGTTAGGAAAGCAAAGGCTAGCTTTTTCAAACAGAAATTTGCATCCTGTAGCACTAACTCCAAAAAGTTTTGGGACACTGTAAAGTCCATGGAAAATAAGAGCACCTCCTCCCAACTGCCCACTGCACTGAGGCTAGGAAACACTGTCACCACCGATAAATGTACAATAATCGAGAATTTCAACAAGCATTTTGCTATGGCTGGCCATGCTTTCCCCCTGGCTACCACTACCCCGGCCACCGGCTCTGCACCCTCCGCTGCAACTTGCCCATGCCCCCCCCCCGCCCCCCCCCCCCCCTCTTCAAAGGGGGTGACACTCTAGATCTAAACTGTTACAGGCCTATATCCATCCTGCCCTGCCTTTCGAAAGTATTTTGAAAGCCAAGTTAACAAACAGATCACCGACCATTTCGAATCCCACCATACCTTCTCCGCTATGCAATCTGGTTTCCGAGCTGGTCATGGGTGCACCTCAGCCACGCTCAAGGTCCTAAACGATATTATAACTGCGATCGATAAAAGACAGTACTGCGCAGCCGTCTTCATTGACCTGGCCAAGGCTTTCGACTCTGTCAACCATCGCATTCTTATTGGCAGACTAAATAGCCTTGGTTTCTCTAATGACTGCCTCGCCTGGTTCACCAACTACTTCTCAGATAGAGTTCAATGTGTCAAATCGGAGGGCCTGTTGTCTGGACCTCTGGCCGTCTCTATGGGGGTGCCACAGGGTTCAATTCTCGGGCCGACTCTATTCTCTGTGTATATGATGTCGCTCTTGCTGCTGGTGACGCTCGGATCCACCTCTATGCGGACGACACCATTTTGTATACATCTGGCCCTTCATTGGACACTGTGTTAACAAACCTCCAAACGAGCTTCAATGCCATACAACACTCCTTCTGTATCCTCCAACTGCTCTTAAACACTAGTAAAACATGCTCTTCAACCGAACGCTGCTTGCACAAGCCCACCAGACTAGAATCACTACTCTCGGCGGGTCTGACCTAGAGTATGTGGACAACTACAAATACCTAGGTGTCTGGTTAGACTGTAAACTCTCCTTCCAGACTCACATTAAGCATCTCCAATCAAAAGTTAGATCTAGAATCAGCTTCCTATTTCGCAACAAAGCCTCCTTCACTCATGCTGCCAAACATGCCCTCGTAAAACTGACTATCCTACCGATCCTTGACTTCGGCGATGTCATTTACAAAATAGCCTCCAACACTCTACTCAGAAAATTGGATGTAGTCTATCACAGTGCCATCCGTTTTGTCACCAAATCCCCATATACTACCCACCATTGTGACCTGTACGCTCTTGTTGGCTGGCCCTCACTACATATTCGTCGCCAAACCCACTGGCTCCTAGTCATCTATAAATCACTGCTAGGCAAATCCCCGTCTTATCTTAGCTCACTGGTCACCATTGCAACACCCACCCGTAGTCTGCGCTCCAGCAGGTATATCTCACTGGTCATCCCCAAAGCCAACACCTCCATTGGCCGCCATTCCTTCCAGTTCTCTGCTGCCAATGACTGGAACGAACTGCCAAAATCTCTGAAGCTGGAGACTCTTATCTCCCTCACTAACTTTAAGCGTCTGTTGTCAGAGCAGCTTACCGATCACTGCACCTGTACACAGCCATTCTGAAATTAGCCCACCCAACTACCTCATGCCCATATTGTTATTTATTTTGCTCATTTGCACCCCAGTATCTCTATTTGCACATCATCCTTTGCACATCTATCATTCCAGTGTTAATACGAAATTGTAACTATTTTGCACTATGGCCTATTTATTGCCTTACCTCCATAACTTACTACATTTGCTGTATATGCTGTATATATATTTTCTGTTGTATTTTTGACTTTATGTTTTGTTTACCCCATATGTAACTCTGTGTTGTTGTTTTTATCGCACTGCTTTGCTTTATCTTGGCCAGGTCGCAGTTGTAAATGAGAACTTGTTCTCAACTGGCTTACCTGGTTAAATAAAGGTGAAAGAAAATTGTTTTAAAATAAAAGGGTTCTTGGCACTGAACATTTCCCCCAAAACGTTCTTCCAAGAATCCCATAGGAGGTGGGGGTTCTTGCAGGAACCTAACTGCCCAACTGAAACATTTAGATTTGAATTTGAAAGGACAGCAAGTGCAGGCACTTAACTGAAAAATGTAAAGATCTCCTCAATTTAAGGTAAGGTTTGTCCCTTGTATGATCTAAATTCACATTGTTTTATGATGATACCATCAATCTTTTCATATTTGTGCAAATCATTCTAAAAAAAAAAGAAAAAGGACACAATTCAATCAACAAAGAGGTGAGAATATGTCGGCTATAAGAATATGTTGAAGGCTGTATTGGGTGCAGATGACTGAACTGCTCACTTTTGTGGCTGTGTCTAGAGGTATACAGACGAGGAGGCATAAAAAGTCAATTGGTATTGGTATGTTATGCAGATCACATTTACCATCCTCCTCCCTTATGTGTATGTGTATGAAAACCATTATCAAAACAGTTTTTTTCATTCACATTTACCCCAAAAACCAAGGTATGAATACTTTTGTGTCGTGTGCATGTTTTGTTAATCATCTGTGTAATTACACGTTTTTGGATTCACTGACTTCACCCTCCCTACACCTCTGATGAATATAACAGGAAACCTGTTTGATCACCATGCACTGCAAAATCATTCTGGCTATGGATACGGAGAACATCAATACATTAACATCAACACGCCAGAGGATATACCCATTGGACTTGGGGCTCTGCTGGGAGTTTACCTCATATTTTGATTTTTTTATTCTGCTTTGCCACTAAAATCATAATGAACACTGAGAACAAAAAATATTGTGTTATAGTTATGTGTATTATTATTAATAATAATAATAGGGGAGGAGGGGTAGTTAAAAAATTTTACCCCAAAAGGTTCTTCAAAAGGTTCTTCAAGTATCCATTAAAAGGGGTTCTTTGAAGAACCCTTTTAAAGGGTTCTTCGAAGAACTTATAGGGGTTCCCCCACAGTTTCAATTTGAAGAACCCCTAAAGGATGCTCCAGGAACCTTTTATTTTGAAAGTATACTGGCAGCATTTACCAGCCAGATTTAGAAGCTCAAAAACCCCATTAGAAAAAAAAAATAAAGAAAAAAATGATGGTTATGATGGTTTTTATTTTGTTTTATTTTGTTTTGCAGTCAAAGGTAATAGTTTCAGTATACACTCTAAAAACAAAAGGTTCCCAGAGTATCCTTTAGGATTGGGAAGGTTTCGACTTCTTACGGTCTCTCCAGTTTTTCCACAGGTGGAGAGGTGTATATGATACATAAGATAGGGTTTTGTGGCTGGTTACAGGCCAATACACACACTGAGTGTCATCTATGGCTGATTAATTAACCAGACACTATCTGAGCCTTTCATCTTATTCAGCGAGCAGGGGAGTGCGTAAAGAAGAATTACACATTATAACTAAAATAATAAGACGTTACACAGTTTATTTTATATTTGCACTATTACACACACACACACACACACACACACACACACACACATACATATATATATATATATATATATATATATATATATATATTAGGGGTGTAACGATTCGTTTTAACAACGATTCGATTTGTATCACGATTCGTGGTTGTCGATACGATTCAAGGACGATATTGGTTCATTTAGAACGATACGATCCGAAACGATTCAGTGACTTGAAATCGATTCAGTAACCTTTTAGCCAAAAATTCAACCAGTGTGACTGAAATAAATACCTGGATACTGGACAGTGCAGGTGAAGTTTCCTAGATTCCTGTTTCTTGTAAGGACCGCAATGGTGGCTTGATAATTACTCGCTCGTCGGCTTCTCCTCTGTCGTCCGCCATGCTATGTTTTGTTGTCTTGGCGCCTTTGCGCTGCTGCTGGCGCGATGACGTCACGGATAGGCAGACTGAATCGAGTAATGTTTAAAGCCTTTATCATTAAAAGTGCTAAGAAAAAACATCCATATAAAGTCTGACGTGCTTAAATCCAATGGGTTATTTCCTAGTATCGATACAATCGATTTATTACATTTTAAAACGATGTTAGATCGATATATGTTGTCCAAAAGGCCAACTCACCGAGCACAGATCGATGTAGTTGGATCATAGGAATATAAATCGATACATCGATGAAGTAGATGGATCGTTACACCCCTAATATATATATATATATATAACCATGAATGTGATTTTTTTTACATTAAATAATTAGGACACTGTGTATGTCTCTGTTATCAAGCGTTTCTAGACCGAGTGGCACAGCGGTCTAAGGCACTGCATCTCAGTGCTTGAGGCGTCACTACAGACCCCCTGGTTCAATTCCAGGCTGTATCACAACCGGCCGTGATTGGGAGTCCCATAGGGCAGCGCACAATTGGCCCAGCGTCATCCGGGTTTGGCCGGTGTAGGCCGTCATTGTAAATAAGAATTTGTTCTTAACTGAATTGCCTAGTTAAATAAAGGTTAAATAAAAAAATTGACACCAACTTTGGAGCCGGGCCAGATGGTCAAAACCCAGCAAATGCTTCTATTAGGATACAGTACAATCTAAAAAGAAAAGGTTCCTGGAGGATCCTTTAGGGGGACATTCCCCAATGCTGGAAGGGGGTCTTGAGTGAAATGGTTTGGGAACCTCTGATCTAGAGAGCTCTATTGTCCTGTATGTCTCAGTTGGTAGAGCATGGTGCTTACACCGCTAGGGTTGTGGGTTCAATTCCCGGGGCCACCATTACTTAAAACATATGTATGCACGCTTGACTGTAAGTCGCTTTGCTAAACAGCATATATAATAATAACCCATCTAGTATTTATCAATCTAGACAGCGCTACAATAACCCATCTAGTATTTATCTATCTAGACAGCTCTACAATAACCCATCTAGTATTTATCTATCTAGACAGCTCTACAATAACCCATCTAGTATTTATCTATCTAGACAGCGCTACAATAACCCATCTAGTATTTATCTATCTAGACAGCTCTACAATAACCCATCTAGTATTTATCTATCTAGACAGCTCTACAATAACCCATCTAGTATTTATCTATCTAGACAGCTCTACAATAACCCATCTAGTATTTATCTATCTAGACAGCTCTACAATAACCCATCTAGTATTTATCTATCTAGACAGCTCTACAATAACCCATCTAGTATTTATCTATCTAGACAGCGCTGCAATAACCCATCTAGTATTTATCTATCTAGACAGCTCTACAATAACCCATCTAGTATTTATCTATCTAGACAGCTCTACAATAACCCATCTAGTATTTATCTATCTAGACAGCTCTACAATAACCCATCTAGTATTTATCTATCTAGACAGCGCTACAATAACCCATCTAGTATTTATCTATCTAGACAGCGCTACAATAACCCATCTAGTATTTATCTATCTAGACAGCGCTACAATAACCCATCTAGTATTTATCTATCTAGACAGCGCTACAATAACCCATCTAGTATTTATCTATCTAGACAGCTCTACAATAACCCATCTAGTATTTATCTATCTAGACAGCTCTACAATAACCCATCTAGTAATTATCTATCTAGACAGCGCTACAATAACCCATCTAGTATTTATCTATCTAGACAGCTCTACAATAACCCATCTAGTATTTATCTATCTAGACAGCGCTACAATAACCCATCTAGTATTTATCTATCTAGACAGCTCTACAATAACCCATCTAGTATTTATCTATCTAGACAGCTCTACAATAACCCATCTAGTATTTATCTATCTAGACAGCTCTACAATAACCCATCTAGTATTTATCTATCTAGACAGCTCTACAATAACCCATCTAGTATTTATCTATCTAGACAGCTCTACAATAACCCATCTAGTATTTATCTATCTAGACAGCTCTACAATAACCCATCTAGTATTTATCTATCTAGACAGCTCTACAATAACCCATCTAGTATTTATCTATGTAGACAGCTCTACAATAACCCATCTAGTATTTATCTATCTAGACAGCTCTACAATAACCCATCTAGTATTTATCTATCTAGACAGCTCTACAATAACCCATCTAGTATTTATCTATCTAGACAGCTCTACAATAACCCATCTAGTATTTATCTATGTAGACAGCTCTACAATAACCCATCTAGTATTATCTATGTAGACAGCTCTACAATAACCCATCTAGTATTTATCTATCTAGACAGCTCTACAATAACCCATCTAGTATTTATCTATCTAGACAGCTCTACAATAACCCATCTAGTATTTATCTATCTAGACAGCTCTACAATAACCCATCTAGTATTTATCTATCTAGACAGCTCTACAATAACCCATCTAGTATTTATCTATCTAGACAGCTCTACAATAACCCATCTAGTATTTATCTATCTAGACAGCTCTACAATAACCCATCTAGTATTTATCTATCTAGACAGCTCTACAATAACCCATCTAGTATTTATCTATCTAGACAGCTCTACAATAACCCATCTAGTATTTATCTATCTAGACAGCGCTACAATAACCCATCTAGTATTTATCTATCTAGACAGCGCTACAATAACCCATCTAGTATTTATCTATATAGACAGCGCTACAATAACCCATCTAGTATTTAATCTATCATCTAGACAAGGCGCTACAATAACCCATCTAGTATTATCTATCTAGACAGCGCTACATAACCCATCTAGTATTTATCTATCTAGACAGAGCGCTACAATAACCCATCTAGTATTATCTATCTAGACAGCTCTACATAACCCATCTAGTATTTATCTATCTAGACAGCTCTACATAACCCATCTAGTATTTATCTATCTAGACAGCTCTACAATAACCCATCTAGTATTTATCTATCTAGACAGCTCTACAATAACCCATCTAGTATTTATCTATCTAGACAGCTCTACAATAACCCATCTAGTATTTATCTATCTAGACAGTGCTACAATAACCCATCTAGTATTTATCTATCTAGACAGCGCTACAATACCCATCTAGTATTTATCTATCTAGACAGCTCTACAATAACCCATCTAGTATGTATGCTATCTAGACAGTGCTACAAAACCCATCTAGTATTTATCTATCTAGACAGCTCTACAATAAACCCATCTCGTATTTATCTATCTAGACAGCTCTACAATAACCCATCTAGTATGTATCTATCTAGACAGTGCTACAATAACCCATCTAGTATTTATCTATCTAGACAGCTCTACAATAACCCATCTAGTATTTATCTATCTAGACAGCGCTACAATAACATCATATCCATTAGTCACGTCATCTGACACTCAGACACATTCATGAGTTAGAAAACAATAGTCCACAGTGTGTGGACTGAGTGGACGGGATGGTGTGTGTGTGAGAAAGGAGAGAGAAAGAGAGAGACCTAGTGTGGGGGGGGGGGGGGGGGGGGGGGGGGGGGGGGGGGGCAGAGATAAAGAGAGAGCTCTGTTTTGCCCTGATAAGCAGATTGAGACACATAAAAGACTTGACAGGATGGGGTCACAAACCGGATGTCTGGTTGAAATAACACTGAAGAGAACATTTTGAAACGACTTCGCTGTTCAGCTTTTCTTTTTTTTTTCACACAGTAAACATATTTTTTGCTGATTCAAACTTCCTCTGTTAGTGATGGGCTGGAACAAAAGCCTGCATTCCCAGTAACTGTCCAGGAGCAGAGTCGTTCACCACAACACTGTTAGGTGTTTGAGTGCACAGTATCAAGTATCCTACTAAAGATTTAAATGAGGATGTAAATTACATTTCAGTTGCAGTGAATTCAGGAAGTACACTTAAATTACAATTTAAAAAAGAGAGAGAGATATAGATAGAAAGACTGAGTGAAAGAGAGAGCGAGAGAGAGAGAGAGAGAGAGAGCGAGAGAGAGCGAGAGAGAGAGAGAGAATGTAACCTCCCTGCTCTCCCTGATAAGCATTCAGCCAAATTAACAGCAGGTTTGTTTTCCACGTGGGTCATAAGAGACAAACCCATATTCTTCCCCCAGTGTCTGAGATGGCCAATCACACTAGGACATCTGCTCTGCGCCCTCTCTCTCCTCAGGACCCCAGTACCGCGTGTGTGTGAGTGTGTTTGTGGTTTCCAGGGACGTCCTCTCTATCTGTCCAGGATGCAGGAGATACTGGCTGCTGGCAATCAGAGCTTGTCGCTGGGATATTGTTCTGGTGTGTGTCTTATGGCCCTCCGCTTGGCTTGCGGCCCCACGGTTGACATTGAACCCTGTAATGGATTTTTTTATCCAATGTTGTCCATCCTCATCACCTAACTGAGGTGTGTGTGAGCCTGTGTGTGTGTGTGTGTGTGTGATCCTGTGTGTGTGTGTGTGTGTGTGTGTGTGTGTGTGTGTGTGTGTGTGTGAGTGTGTGTGTGGTGTGTGTGTGTGATGTGTGTGTGTGTGAGCCTGTGGGTGTGTGTGTGGTGTGTGTGTGAGAGTGGTGTGGTGTGGTGTTGTGTGTGTGTGTGTGAGCCTGTGTGTGTGACCTGTGTGTGTGTGTGTGTGTGTGTGTGTGTGTGTGTGTGTGTGGTGAGCCTGTGTGTGTTGTGTGTGTGTGTGACCGTGTGTGTGAGCCTGTGGTGTGTGTGTGTGTGTGAGAGTGAGTGTGTGTTGTGTGTGTGTTTGTGTGTGTGCCTGTGTGTGTGATCCTGTGTGTGTGTGTGTGTGTGTGTGTGGTGTGAGCCTGTGTGTGTGTGTGTATGACTACCAGCACTCACAGTCTCACGTCAGAATTAGACCTTCATCCAGTGTTTCTCAAACGTAACATTTCTAAGTTCTTCTAAACGTCAAAGAAGTTTTGGCATTAACACCAAATTCTTAAGGTTATGCATTAACTCAGAATGGCTAAGGTAAGGGTTAAGGTTTGGGATAGGCTTAAAACAAAAATATTAAAATCATCACTGGATTTCAACTTTCAACCTTAGGAATCAGATGCTTACGCCCATCTATCATCCCCGTCCACAATGACCTAGCAAAACCCAAACCTACTTGAAAGTAACAGCGCTCACTGTTGCCCCTAGTGGCCGGTTTCCAAGTTATCTCCCGACGTCTTCACACATGGATGGACGTCGAATACTGACATGTATCACGTCTGTGTGTGTGTGTGTGTGTTTGTGTGTGTGTCTGTATCTGTGTCTGTGTGTTTCATAGAATGTGTGTGTATTGTGAGTACAGCTCTCCCCCCTCTTTACCTCTCTGTTTTATAACAGCTCCCACTCTCCCTTCACCTCTCCGTCAACCTCTCCCTCTGGCTGATGGATTAGTGGTAAACAGGAGGCTGAGTCACCATCTAACACTCAGAGCCCCCACCCTGTCAGGCCTGGGGTTCTCACCATATATAGCAGAGTTAGTGTGGGCAGGAGAGAGAGAGAGAGAGGGGGGGAGAGAGAGGGAGAGAGAGACACACACAGAGAGAGAGAGAGAGAGAGAGAGAGACACAGAGAGAGAGAGAGAGAGAGAGACACAGAGAGAGAGAGAGAGAGAGAGAGAGAGAGAGAGAGAGAGAGAGAGAGAGAGAGAGAGAGAGATAGGGGTTAGAGCTCACTACTGAATGACTCAACATAAACTGCAGATTCTGAAACATTAAATCCATCTTTATGACCCAATACACACGTATTTCTTTCAACTACTCTACAAAACCCTTCCCTCCATCCCTCCATCCCTCCATCCCTCTCTCCCTGCATCCCTCCATCCCTCCATCCCTCTCTCCCTACAATTCTCTCTCCCTACATCCCTCTCTCCCTGCATCCCTCTCTCCCTGCATCCCTCCATCCCTGACAATTATGTCTTTCAACTACATTTACATTTACATTTTTGTCATTTAGCAGACTACTCTACATAACGTCTCTACAGTTATATCTTTAGACATTGTGGGTGTGAGAGCATGTACAGTGAGGGAAAAAAGTATTTGATCCCCTGCTGATAATGTGTACGTTTGCCCAATGACAAAGACATGATCAGTCTATACTTTTAATGGTAGGTTTATTTGAACAGTGAGAGACAGAATAACAACAACAAAATCCAGAAAAACGCATGTCAAAAATGTTATAAATTGATTTGCATTTTAATGAGGGAAATAAGTATTTGACCCCTCTGCAAAACATGATTTAGTACTTGGTGGCAAAACCCTTGTTGGCAATCACAGAGGTCAGACGTTTCTTGTAGTTGGCCACCAGGTTTGCACACATCTCAGCAGAGATTTTGTTCCACTCTTCTCCAAGTTATTAAGGTTTCGAGGCTGACGTTTGGCAACTCGAACCTTCAGCTCCCTCCACAGATTTTCTATGGGATTAAGGTCTGGAGACTGGCTAGGCCACTCCAGGACCTTAATGTGCCTCTTCTTGAGCCACTCCTTTGTTGCCTTGGCCGTGTACTTTGGGTCATTGTCATGCTGGAATACCCATCCACGACCCATTTTCAATGCCATGGCTGAGGGAAGGAGGTTCTCACCCAAGATTTGACGGTACATGGCCCCGTCCATTGTCCCTTTGATGTGGTGAAGTTGTCCTGTCCCCTTAGCAGAAAAACACCCCCAAAGCATAATGTTTCCACCTCCATGTTTGACGGTGGGGATGGTGTTCTTGGGGTCATAGGCAGCATTACTCCTCCTCCAAACACGGCGAGTTGAGTTGATGCCAAAGAGCTTGATTTTGGTCTCATCTGACCACAACACTTTCACCCAGTTCTCCTCTGAAACATTCAGATATTCATTGGCAAACTTCAGGCGACCCTGTATATGTGCTTTCGTGAGCAGGGGGACCTTGCGAGCGCTGCAGGATTTCAGTCCTTCACGGCGTAGTGTGTTACCAATTGTTTTCTTGGCGACTATGGTCCCAGCTGCCTTGAGATCATTGACAAAATCCTCCCGTGTAGTTCTGGGCTAATTCCTCACTGATCTCATGATCATTGCAACTCCACGAGGTGAGATCTTGCATGGAGCACCAGGCCGAGGGAGATTGACAGTTCTTTTGTGTTTCTTCCATTTGCAAATAATCGCACCAACTGTTGTCACCTTCTCACCAAGCTGCTTGGCGATGGTCTTGTAGCCCATTCCAGCCTTGTGTAGGTCTACAATCTTGTCCCTGACATCCTTGGAGAGCTCTTTGGTCTTGGCCATGGTGGAGAGTTTGGAATCTGATTGATTGATTGCTTTTGTGGACAGGTGTCTTTTATACAGGTAACAAACTGAGATTAGGAGCACTCCCTTTAAGAGTGTGCTCCTAATCTCAGCTCGTTACCTGTATAAAAGACACCTGGGAGCCAGAAATCTTTCTGATTGAGAGGGGGTCAAATACCTATTTCCCTCATTAAAATGCAAATCAATTTTTAAAATTTTTGACATGCGTTTTTCTGGATTTTTTTGTTGTTATTCTGTCTCTCACTGTTCATATAAACCTACCATTAAAATTATAGACAGATCATTTCTTTGTCAGTGGGCAAACGTACAAAATCAGCAGGGGATCAAATACTTTTTTCCCTCACTGTATGTCTGCTATCTCTGTGCTACTGCTGTTATTTTTAAATATATATATTTTTAAATGTTTTAACAACTTATTTACACATTAAAAATGTAAGTGGGGAGACAGGCAATTGGGAGAACCAGTGAGAAGGGTGGACATGGAGATTGAACCCTGGAGTTGCTCCATGTACCGGTATAGATTTTTTATCTTGAGTGCAACCACAGTGTGTCATTGGGAATTATTAAGTTGTCCTTCACACATACACACACACGTATGCACGTACCCACACACACACACATACATACAGGAACGCAAAGACGTACACACAGACAGGCAAGCAAAGACGCACACACACACACACACATACAGTGACACACGTCATCTGACACACACAGGTTTATAGAGCTCTTCTTCGGTGTTCAATAGATTAAGTTCACCTTCCTAATATTGCAGCCAGGTCACCCGTGATACAAGTCAGTATTCGACGTTCATCCATGTCTGAGGACGTCAGGTGATGACGTGGAAACCGGCCACTAGGGGCAACAGTGAGAGCTCTTACCTTCAAGTAGATTTTGGTTTTGCTACAGCATTGTGGACAGGGATGGCAGATGGGTGTGAACATCTGCATCTGGTGCCAGAGGCTGCTGTAACCACAGTTTCTTGTTTTTTGCTGAAAGAAGTTGAACTCTGTAAGGTTGTCGGCTGCCATACCCCATTTGTGTCAAGATACGACGAGTTGTGCATTCTTTTATGGATCTTTGGGCACCAATGTTGTACTGGACTGGCAGTTGACTAATTGTAGCCCGTCTGTTGCTCTGCACAATTCGTGTCAGCCTACTTTGTCCTCTTTCATCAAATGACCCGTTTTCGACCACTGGCCTGCCGCTGGCTGGATGTCCTTTGGGTGGTGGACCATTCTTGATACACACGGGAAACTGTTGAGCATGAAAAACCCAGCAGCGTTGCAGTTCTTGACACACTCAAACCGATGCGCCTGGCACCTACTACCATACCTCGTTCAAAGACACTTCAATATTTTGTCTTGCCCATTCACCCTCTGAATGACACATCTGCACAATCCATGTCTCAATTGTCTCAAGGCTTAAAATCATAATTTAACCAGTCTCCTCCCCTTCATCTACACTGATTGAAGTGGATTTAACAAGTGACATCAAAAAGGGATCATAGCTTTCACCAGGATTCCCCTGGTCAGTCTTTATCATGGAAAGAGCATGTGTTCCTAATGTTTTGTACATTCAGTATATATCTATAGCTCTGAGACATTCATCCATCAGTGTGTGTGTGTGTGTGTGTGTGTGTGTGTGTGTGTGTGTGTGTGTGTGTGTGTGTGTGTGTGTGTGTGTGTGTGTGTGTGTGTGTGTGTGTGTGTGTGTGTGTGTGTGTGTGTGTGTGTGTGTGTGTGTGTGTGTGTGTGTGTGTGTGTGTGTGTGTGTGTGTGTGTGTGTGTGTGTGTGTGTGTGTGTGTGTGTGTGTGTGTGTGCATCCCTCTCCCCCACTGTGTAGGGCCACAGCCCAGACAGGAGAAAAAAATGAAATCTAATCAGTTTGATTCATTGTGAATCTCAGAAGGTTTTCAACTTCCATCCGTTTAACAGAAGCAGTACAATTTTAAGATGAACAGGCACAGTATGCAGTTAGTTTTTAGATGAGAAATAATGTTGAATCTACCTACCTAGACACCCACCCACACACACCTCCCTCTAGCTCTTCTAGTAACTGTACACTCTTAGAAAAAAAGGTTCTACCTTGAACCTAAAATGGTTATTCGGCTGTCCCCATAGGAGAACCTTTTGAATAACCCTTTTTGGTTCCAGGTAGAACCCTTTGGTTCCAAGTAGAACCCTTTTGGGTTCCATGTAGAACTCTTTCCACAGAGGGTCCTACCTGGAACCCAAAAGGGTTCTCCTCCTTCACTCCTCCTCCTCCACCCCTCCACTCCTACTCTGCCACTTCTCCTCCACTTAGTCCTCTCCTCCTCCACCCCTCGGCTCCTCTTCCTCAAACCCTCCTCCACTCCTCTTCCTTGACCCCTCCTCCACCTCTCCACTCCCCCTCCTCCACTCCTCCTCCACTCCCCCTCCTCCACACCTGCTCCACTCCTCCTCCTCCACTCCTCCTCCACTCCCCTCCTCCACTCCTGCTCCACTCCCCAAACCCTTTACCAAAAAGGGTTTTTACCTGGAACCAAAAAGGGTTCTACCTGGAACCAAAAAAGGGTTCTCCTATGGGGACAGCCAAATCTCCTTAAACACTACTCCTTAAACACTACTCCACCAACTGAATAAATGATGGGAAAGGAAGAGTGGAGGAAGTGGAGTGAAGGAGGAGTGGAGGAGGAGTGGAGGAGGAGGAGTGGAGGAAGAGGAGGAGTGGAGGAGGGGGAGTGGAGGAGGAGGAGTGGAGGAAGAGGCGTGGAGGAGGAGTAGTGGAGCAGGTGTGGAGGAGGGGAGTGGAGGAGGAGTGGAGGAGGAGGAATGGAACAGGTGTGGAGGAGTGGAGGAGGAGGCGTGGAGGAGGGGGAGTGGAGGAGGAGGAGTGGAGCAGAAGTGGAGGAGGGGAGTGGAGGAGGAGTGGAGGAGGGGGGTGGTGGGGGGGAGTGGAGGAGTGGAGTGGAGAGGTGGAGGAGATATCAAGGAAGAGGAGTGGGGGAGGGATGGAGGAGGGTTTGAGGAAGAGGAGCCGAGGGGTGGAGGAGGAGAGGACTGAGTGGAGGAGAAGTGGCAGAGGAGGAGTGGAGGGGTGGAGGAGGAGGAGTGAAGGAGGAGGAGTGAAGGATGTGGAGGAGAAAAGAGGATTGGGAGGAGGAGTGGAGGAGGGGTCAAGGAAGAGGAGTGGAGGTTGGGTGGAGGAGGGGTGGGGGAAGAGGAGTGAAGGAGGAGGAGTGAAGGATGATGAGGAGTGGAGGAGGAGGAGGAGAGGAGTGGAGGAGGGTGGAGTAGGTGTGGAGGAGGGGGAGTGGAGGAGGAGTGGAGGAGGGGTGGAGGAGGGGGAGTGGAGGAGTGGAGGAGATATTTACATTTACATTTTAGTCATTTAGCAGACGCTCTTATCCAGAGCGACTTACAGTTAGTGAATACATATTTATTTTTTTATACTGGCCCCCCTTGGGAATCAAACTCACAACCCTGGCGTTGCAAACGCCATGCTCTATCAACTGAGCTACATCCCTGCCGGCCATTCCCTCCCCTACCCTGGACGACGCTGGGCCAATTGTGCGCCGCCCATGAGTCTCCCGGTAGCGGCCGGCTGCGACAGAGCCTGGATTCGAACCAGGATCTATCAAGGAAGAGGAGTGGGGGAGGGATGGAGGAGAGTTTGAGGAAGAGGAGCCGAGGGGTGGTGGAGGGGTGATGGAGGGGTGGAGGAGGAGAGGAATAAGTGGAGGAGAAGTGGCAGAGGAGGAGTGGAGGGGTGGAGGAGGAGGAGTGAAGGAGGAGGAGTGAAGGATGTGGAGGAGAAAAGAGGATTGGGAGGAGGAGTGGAGGAGGGGTCAAGGAAGAGGATTGGAGGTGGGGTGGAGGAGGGGGGGGGGAAGAGGAGTGAAGGAGGAGGAGTGAAGGATGATGAGGAGTGGAGGAGGAGGAGGAGAGGAGGAATGGGAGGAAGAGTGGAGGAGGATTGGGAGGAGGAGTGGAGGAGGGGTGGGGGAAGAGGAGTGGAGGTGGGGTGGAGGAGGGGTGGGGGAAGAGGAGTGGAGGAGGAGTAGAGGAAGAGGAGTGGAGGAGGAGTGGAGGAATGGTTGAGGAAGAGGAGCCAAGGGGTGGAGGAGTGGGCCCTGTCCTGTTGCCTTGTTGCCCTGGTAACAGGGAAACAGGGTAACTGGGCAACAGGACAACTGGGCAACAGGGCAACAGCACAACAGGGCAACTTGGCAACAGGGTGGTAACAGGGCAACAGGGTAACAGGACAACAGGGCAACAGAGTAACAGGGCAACAGAGTAACAGGGCAACAGGGTAACAGGACAACAGGATAACAAGGCAACAGGGCAACAGAGTAACAGGGCAACAGGGCAACAGGATAACAGGACAACAGGGCAACAGGACAACAGGGCAACAGGGCAACAGAGTAACAGGGCAACAGGGCAACAGGATAACAGGACAACAGGGCAACAGGGCAACATGACAACAGGACAACAGAGTAACAGGGCAACAGGGCAACAGGACAACAGGATAACAAGGCAACAGGACAACAGGGCAACAGGACAACAGAGTAACAGGACAACAGGGCAACAGGGCAACAGGATAACAAGGCAACAGGACAACAGGGCAACAGGACAACAGGGCAACAGGGCAACAGGACAACAGGACAACAGGACAACAGAGTAACAGGGCAACAGGGCAACAGGACAACAGGATAACAAGGCAACAGGACAACAGGGCAACAGGACAACAGAGTAACAGGACAACAGGGCAACAGGGCAACAGGATAACAAGGCAACAGGACAACAGGGCAACAGGACAACAGAGTAACAGGGCAACAGGGCAAGGGATACGGTCAGAGGTGGTTTGTGTTGTCTGTCTCACCATCAATAGTTAGTCATTTAGCTGGGTTGTAATGGAGTGGGCTGTGGCCAGAGAAACACAGTCACCAGCCCCAGCCAGCCTCATAAGGCTATGGCATCCAGTCAGAGCAGTTACGGATCCTTATGTCACGTTACAGTACTATATACTACAGTACACAGTCACCAGCCCCAGCCAGCCTCATAAGGCTATGGCATCCAGTCAGAGCAGTTACGGATCCTTATGTCACGTTACAGTACTATATACTACAGTACACAGTCACCAGCCCCAGCCAGCCTCGTAAGGCTATGGCATCCAGTCAGAGCAGTTACGGATCCTTATGTCACGTTACAGTACTATATACTACAGTACACAGCACCAGCCCCAGCCAGCCTCGTAAGGCTATGGCATCCAGTCAGAGCAGTTACGGATCCTTATGTCACGTTACAGTACTATATACTACAGTACACAGTCACCAGCCCCGGCCAGCCTCGTAAGGCTATGGCATCCAGTCAGAGCAGTTACGGATCCTTATGTCACGTTACAGTACTATATACTACAGTACACAGTCACCAGCCCCGGCCAGCCTCGTAAGGCTATGGCATCCAGTCAGAGCAGTTACGGATCCTTATGTCACGTTACAGTACTATATACTACAGTACACAGCACCAGCCCCGGCCACACAAGGCTCCCGGTCAGAGCAGGCACTGGCTGTGTCCCAAATGGTACCCTATTTCTATCCCCTGTACAGTGCACTACTTTTGACCATCGCCCTTTAGGGAAGCACACACAGCCTCACTAGGCCAATTTTCCACCAGCCAGGGCAGTCACTGGCTACATCCAAAAAAAGGCAACCTAATGGCATTTGGGACTCGACCACATCCTCACAAGGCAGAGGCACCCGGTCAGAGCAGTCACTTGTACTGTACTGTGCTGTACTGTGCATAAAGCTGTCAAAGGAATGAATGGACTCATGCCATAACAGGTCGTCAAGGCTACACAAGGGCAAATAGCGTCAGCTTTGTTGGTTTCTGATTTCTTTAGAGCAGTTTTTTCCAAATGGTGTGTTCAGTAATCTTGGAGCGTTAAAGGCCCAGCGCAAAACAAATATCAATTTTTTTCCTGTGTTTCATATCATATTGTACAACAGCTGATGAAACTAACACTGTAAAAGTGTGAGAAAGAAAAATGGATTAGTGTTATTTCCTGATAGTTTCTGGTTGAAAATACGATCTACACAGGACCTTCTAATCACCAAGTTTTGGCTTTCCATGGTGACATCACCATGCGGTAAATTGATTAATAGACGAATAACGAAGAGAGTTCCAAACCTCTTTGCCAATAACAGATCGTTTCTGTTTTCCCCTCCCACTCAGACCACTCCCAGCACTCCTAGCAAAATTCTTTCTTGAGAAGTTTTTGGCTAAAAAGCTTTTTTTGCCCATTTTAATGGAAATCTACTACAATAAGGTACTTAATTGTTAAATCAGAAATGTTTTGACATTGATATAAAAAATGGCTGCATTGGGCCATTAAGACCTTTTGGGTTGTGGCTCAAAAGCAGGGTTCTGGCTAGAGACATGGTTTAGTTTACATTAGAGGTTACAAGAACCATCCAAAAGCTTTAGGTGGCTCACAGCTCAATAACATCAGCTGTCTGCCAGTCATGTCAGTCATGTCATAACAGGGTTATTGAGCTCTTGTGACAGTGTTATAAAGCCCTTATGACTGTGTTATAAAGCCCTTATGACAGTGTTATAAAGCCCTTATGACAGTGTTATAAAGCCCTTGTGTTATAAAGCTCTTATGACAGTGTTCTAAAGCCCTTATGACCGTTTTATAAAGCCCTTATGACAGTGTTATGAAGCCCTTATGACCGTTTTATAAAGCCCTTATGACAGTGTTATGAAGCCCTTATGACAGTGTTATAAAGCCCTTGACAGGGTGTTCAGGTAAAGTGTAAAAGTGTAACTGTCATATTGCCTGATCCCCAGTCACACAACAAGCTAACACTGAAACATGGTCAAAGACGGTTTGGAAATATCAAATGGCAGCTGATACTAAATGTGAACCCAAGTGTGTGTGTGTGTGTTTGTCTACTGTTACATAATGGTTTGAATCTGATAGCCTTGTGTCCGCTGTTTGTCCTATTGACTGCTATTGAACACACACACACACACACACACACGTTATGTTCTTCTATCCCCGTGGGGGATTTTAGGTCCCCACAAGGATTGAAGTAACCCCCAGCACACACACACACACACACACACACACACACACACACACACACAGCTATTGAAGCCAGGGTGGCAGGCAACCACTTATAATGAAGAGAGAGGGTATCAGTGACACCTTGGGAAGAAAACTGCCAATGAGAGAGAGATGTCTTCACTGACATTGTCAACCTCTCCCTGACCAAGTCTGTAATACCTACGTTTCAAGCAGACCACCATAGTCCCTGTGCCCAAGAACACTAAGGTAACCTGCCTAAATAACTACTGCCCTGTAGCACTCACGTCTGTAGCCATGAAGTGCTTTGAAAGGCTGGTCATGGCTCACATCAACAGCATCATCCCGGATACCCTAAACCCACTCCAATTTGCAGACCGCCCCAACAGATCCACAGATGACGCAATCTCAATCGCACTCCACACTGCCCTTTCCCACCTGGACAAAAGGAACACCTATGTGAGAATGTTGTTCATTGACTACAGCTCAGCGTTAATCACCATAGTGCCCACAAAGCTCATCACTAAGCTAAGGACCCTGGGACTAAACACCTCCCTCTGCAACTGGATCCTGGACTTCCTGACGGGCCGCCCCCAGGTGGTAAGGGTAGGCAACAACACATCTGCCACGCTGATCCTCAACACTGGGGCCCCCCAGGGGTGCGTGCTTAGTCCCCTCCTGTCCTCCCTGTTCACCTACGACTGCGTGGCCAAACACGACTCCAACACCATCATTAAGTTTGCTGACGACACAACAGTGGTAGGCCTGATCACCGACAATGATGAGACAGCCTATAGGGAGGAGGTCAGACACCTGGCCGTGTGGTGCCAGGACAACAACCTCTCCCTCAATGTGAGCAAGACAAAGGAGGACTACAGGAAAAGGCAGGCCGAACAAGCCCCAATTAACATCAACGGGGCTGTAGTGGAGCGGGTCGAGAGTTTCAAGTTCCTTGGAGTCCACATCACCAACGAACACTCATGGTCCAAACACACCAAGACAGTTGTGAAGAGGGCATGACAACACCTTTTCCCCCTCAGGAGACTGAAAAGATTTGGCATGGGTCTCCAGATCCTCAAAAAGTTCTACAGCTGCACCATCGAGAGCATCCTGACCGGTTGCATCACCGCCTGGTATGGCAACTGCTCGGCATCTGACCATAAGGTACTACAGAGGGTAGTGCGTACGGCTCAGTACATCACTGGGGCCAAGTTTCCTGCCATCCAGGACATATATACTAGGCGGTGTCAGAGAAAAGCCCAAAAAATTGTCAAAGACTCCAGCCAATTCTGGTCAACAGCCAACTCTGATCAACGGCCAACTCTGGTCAACGGCCAACTCTGGTCATCAGCCGTCAACAGCCAACTCTGGTCAACAGCCAACTCTGGTCAACAGCCAACTCTGGTCAACAGCCAACTCTGGTCAACAGCCAACTCTCATCCATTAGTCATCAAGCAAGAGAGAATGTTTTGAACATGCGGTGGTGGAGGTGGGGTGAATGAATGCATCTGAATTTGTCCAATGAGAATGCTAATTTGTGCATAACCAAATGTGATCCTAATATTCTCTTTTTTAGGGCTTAATACTAAAATCTGCAGCCAATGTGTGGAGGTTTGTGTGTGTGTGTCTGTGTGTATCGCTCTGTTGAAATTTGCAAGTGTATATTGAGCTTTTGAGTTACCATCACTACACACCCAGTTCACCTTGTCAATAAATCCTGATTCTGTCACCCCTCTCCCAGTGTCATGACTTCGGCCGAGGCTGCCTCCCCTCCTTGTTCGGGCAGGCTTCGGTGTTCGTCGTCACCGGAGTACTAACCACTGCCGGCCCAATCATCATCACAATTGTCTTGTCTCGTTATCACACACACCTGGTTTCAATCCCCTAATTAGTCTGTGTATAAGTGTTCCCTCTGCCCCCTTGTCCTTGTGGGTGATTGTTTATGGTGAAGGTAAGTGAAGCTCGGCGGAGCTCGTGTATTTTGTTAGACGGGAGTATTTTCCCGTGTGCCTTGTATTTTCCAGTGCGCCTGTTTTGTGCCCTGGAGTGTGTTTGACGCAGTTTTGCGTAAACCTGTATTTTGCGGATTAAAGCCTGTTATTCTGTGATTTACCCTCCTGCGCCTGACTCCCTCAACACCACCTCATCACACCCAGCCCTCTCTGAGCTGAGACAATACATTTATGTCTGTGTCCCTAATGGCACCCTATTCTCCATACAGTGCACTACTTTTGACCAGAGCCCGATTTGTCTCTCTAGACAGACGGTTTGCTTCCGGCAATGTATCAATGCTCTAGGTTAAAACATATGTTCGTGTTCCGGCATCATTTGGGACAGAGAAGACGAGTCGGAAATGGGAAGCGCATCACCGGTAACGTCACTGCCGTATCCGTTTGTAACCCTAGCTAAACATGAGCACAATTCCCATCCGCATTTGAAGCCCGCCTACCCAAACTCGTGATTTGCTGGGAGAGTTGAGGAGCCTCCCTGGAAAAATATTCCCTCCATTTTCGAAATGTCAGAGAGAAGCTGACATCCTCCCCAGACCTGTCAGGGATATCCGAGAATAAAGGCTGATGGACCCTGGTCAACAGTAGTGTACGATATAGGGAATAGGGTGCCATTTAAATGCAGACAATATTTATGTTTGCCAGGTACCTTCAGCACAGTCCTCCAGCTTCCCCCAGCCTCCACCTACCATCACCAGGCCCTTCCTTATTCTCCGCTCCACTCAGGGTGAGCCTCTCTGGGCTAGCGGCCGCTGCTCTCCACCGTGGCCAGCTCAACCTTGTGGAGATGGATGGCCGGCCGGGCCGATGCACTCTCTGCACACAGAAGGTTAAGGATGATGTGTAGGGGTGAAGATATGTGTGTTGAGAGGCAAGGACTATGCGGTGAAAGGAAGGAGAACATTACTTTATCGTCCAATTGTACATAAGGTCCAACTGAAATTTGACTTCTGCTCTATCCCAGCCCCTCCGAAAGACACATACACACATAGAAGAGGAGAGGTTGGAGCAGAGGGCAGCAGTACTGAGGTGCCCACAGAGTTGGCAAGTGTTTTCATTAGGGGACGTAATGACGAGAGAGAGACAATATTACCTCCGGGAGTTAGCCAAGACATCCTTGTCCTCTATCAATCTACTCTGCATTACAGATGGATGGACAGACAGCGAGAGGAGAAAGAGATGGATAGATAGAGAGAGAGAGAGAGGGAGAGAGGGGGGGGGGGTGAGATTAACTATGTGTATTTCAGTACAGCGAATTAAAAAGGGGAAGGTCATTATCTTTATCAGGCAAGGGACGAGGCGAGGGACGAGGCCTATTCTTAGCTGTGACCCATCGGCTGGTAGACATGACAGATGTAATGTTTTACGAGGGATGCTTTTAGCATGGCCAGTCTGCATCCCAAATGGTACCCTATTCCCTATATAGTGCACTACTTTTGACCAGTACCCATAGGCCAGTCCCAGACAGACACAGATCACTGCTTCATCAAAGATCCCGTCCTGGGAGGAGAGTGATTTAGAATGGCAGATCAGAGGCAGAGATTGGGAGCTGTGCATGCTGGAAATATGACCATCTCTCCTGGAAATATAACTATAGATATTGTATGGGAAGAAGTAGAGGACCACGATGGAAATACGTCTGACTTCTTTGTCACATCAATCCTTGATGATGTCGTTTATGCACCTTGTCTTGCTAATTAATTCAAAGTGTCTAATAAACTAAATGGAACGGAACTAAACTAAACGGAACTGAACTAAACGGAACTGAACTAAACTAAACTAAACTAAACTAAACTAAACTAAACTAAACGAACTAAACTAAACGGAACATAACTAAACTAAACTAAACGGAACTGAACTAAACTAAATGGAACTGAACTAAACTAAACGGAACTGATCAAAACTAAACGGAACTGAACTGAACTGAACAAAACTGAACTAAACGGAACTGAACTAAAGTAAACTGAGCTAAACTAAACTAAACTGAACTAAACTAATCCCACGTCATTATAAGGTTGTCTGAATATTGTTTATTGTATGATAATATCATATACAGTATGTACAGTATATATAATATCAGCTTTTTGCTGATTATGTGTTTCAGAGATATCTACCCTGTCCGGGTATTGAATAATACTATATATATATATATATATATATATATATATATATATATACACACACACAGTGCATTCGGAAAGTATTCAGACCCCTTGACTTTTTCCACATTTTGTTACGTTACAGCCTTATTCTAAAATGGATTAACCTCATAAGGATCTGACCCTTTTTTAAAAATTTTCGCCTAAAATGACATAACCAAATCTAACTGCCTGTAGCTCAGGCCCTGAAGCAAGGATATTTTGAAGTTTGTGGAAATGTGAAATTAATGTAGGAGAATATAACACATAAAAGATAAAAGATAATACAAACAAAAAAACATGCGTTTTCTATTTTTTTTTTTTTCCATCATCTTTGAAATGCAAGAGAAAGGCCACAATATAATATTGCAGTTTAGACACAATTTATATTTCGGCCACTAGATGGCAGCAGTGTGTGTGCAAAGTTTCAGATTAATCCAGTGAATCATTGCAATGCTTGACTATTTTGTATCAAGTCTGCCCAAATGTGTCGAATTTGTCAATTGATACATTTTCAAGTACTGTACATAACTATAGAGAACAAACAAAAATGATATGGAAATACAAAATGTAAGTTTACACACTTCCAGGAATGTCATACATGATGGAGAATTAGTTTATACACTAACTTTCACACATCTAGATGGCCGGGCGGGGGGGTGGGTGTGGAGCCAGAGACAGCAGGGGTTTGAATATACATTTGAATATAAAATTGATTTTATCAAACAAAACTATGCTACATTTTATCTCTGGGACCCTTAGGATGACAAATCAGAGTAAGATTACTGAATGTAAGTACATTATTTACCGTCAGAGGTGAATGTATCAAACCAGTTGCCGTGATAAGTTTTTTGTTGTTGTGCACTCTCCCCAAACAATAGCATGTTATTTTTTTCACTGTAATAGCTACTGTAAATTGGACAGTGCAGTTAGATTAACAATAATTTAAGCTTTCTGCCCATATAAGACATGTCTATGACCTGGAAAGTTTTCTGTTATTTACAACAGTCATGCTAATCACATTAGCGCACGTTAGCTCAACCCTCCCGTATACGGGACACCGATCCTGTAGAGGTTAAATAGTTTTTTTTCCCCTCATCCATCTACACACAATACACCATAATGACGAAGCAAAAACAGGTTATAATTGTTTTGTGCAAATGTATAAAAAATACCTAGAATACAAATGAAATATCACAATTACATAAATATTCAGACCCTTTACTCAGTACTTTGTTGAAGCACCGTTGGCAGCGATTTAAGCCTCAAGTCTTCTTGAGTATGACGCTACAAGCTTGGCACACCTGTATTTGGGGAGTTTCTCCCATTCTTCTCTGCATATCCACTCAAGCTCTGTCAGGTTGGATGGGGAGCGTCGCTGCACAGCTATTTTCAGGTCTCTCCACAGCTGTTCCATTGGGTTCAAGTCTGGGCTCTGGCTGGGCCATTCAAGGACATTCAGAGACTTGTCCTGAAGCCACTCCTGCGTTGTCTTGGCTGTGTGCTTGGGGTCGTTGTCCTGTTGGAAGGTGAACCCCAGTCTGAGGTCCTGAGCACTCTGGAGCAGGTTGTCATCAAGGATCTCTCTGTACTTTGCTCAGTTCATCTTTCCCTCGATCCTGACTAGTCTCCCAGTGCCTGCCGCTGAAGAACTTCCCCACAGCATGACATTGCCACCACCATGCGTCACCATAGGGATGGTGCCAGGTTTCTTTCAGAAGTGACGCTTGGCATTCAGGCCAAAGAGTTCAATCTTGGTTTCATCAGACCAGAGAATCTTGTTTCTCATGGTCTGAGAGTCCTTTAGGTGCCTTTTGGCAAACTTCAAGTGGGCTGTCATGTGCCTTTTACTGAGGAGTGGCTTCCGTCTGGCCACTCTACCATAAAGTCCTGATTGGTGGAGTGCTTCAGAGATGGTTGTCCTTCTGGAAGGTTCTCCCATCTCCACAGAGGAACTCTGGAGCTCTGTCAGAGTGACCATCGGGTTCTTTGTCACCTCCCTGACCAAGGCCCTTCTCCCCTATTGCTCAGTTTGGCCGGGCAGCCAGCTCTAGGAAGGGTCTTGGTGGTTCCAAACTTCTTCCATTTAAGAATGATGGAGCCCACTATGTTCTTGGGGACCTTCAATAATGCAGACATTTTTTGGTACACTTCCCCAGATCTGTGCCTCGACACAATCCTGTCTCGGAGCTCTATGGACAATTCCTTCGACCTCATGGCTTGGTTTTCACTCTGACATGCACTGTCAACTGTGGGACCTTATATAGACAGGTGTGTGCCTTTCCAAATCATGTCCAATAAATGTCATTTACCACAGGTGGATTCCAATCAAGTTGTAGAAACATCTCAAGGATGATCAACGGAAACAGGATGCACCTGAGCTCAATTTCGAGTCTCATAGCAAAGGGTCTGAATACTTATTTAAATAAAGTATTTCTATTTTTATTTATTTTTATAAATTTGCACAAAAAAATACAACAGTTTTTTGCTTTGTCGTTGTGGGTTATTGTGTGTAGATGGATGAGGAAAACATTAATTTAATCCATTTTAGAACAAGGCTGTAAAGTAACAAAATGTGGAAAAGGGGAAGGGGTCTGAATACTTTTTAAACGCACTGTATATAATAGTATAATCTTATTCTGATGACATGATGATCGATGCTTGGCTGCCATTTGACAAATAAAAATAATTTCACACTTTTGTCCATAATAATCTCATCATGTAGTAGGCTATACCTGCACTCTATATGTGAGCTGTTGGCTAGAGTGCACATGCCAATAACAGAATGGGAATATTCGCTATACCTACACACCATTTAATAGTGACAAAACCATCAGTAGGCCTAGAAGTGAAAATACCATGGAAACCCATTTAACTTGATTATTTTATTCGGCACATGGGAATTTAACTGCAGAATATTTGCATGAAAATCTGTTGCCTATCTGTCACCTGAGCTGAGCCGTGCTTCTTTCTTTCTGGTCCTGACAAGAAAATAAAACTGTCGGGGGGAGGTTCTCTACTGCACTGTTGAACCAATCCAGTAAATATGGAGGAGGAGTTCAAATGAAGTGTCGCCTTGTTCAAGTCTAAAAGCGGAAGTCGCGTCACAGGCTCTCTTTCCATTTCCCCTGATAACCAGATGTCGTAACCGACCCCGCAGACTGTGGGTTCCCATAGATGCAGGTGTGTTGTTGCAAAGATCAACACCAACATAACCGCTAAGTTCTAATGGTCATGTACAGTATATAAGATCTGCCTCTGACCATCACTATGCCTTTACCCATGTCTAACAATCTCTAATGTCTCTCTATTCCTGTCTCTCTACATAAAAAAATACACTGTATTATATCAAGCTCTCATTCGAGGCCAAAGTTGCACAGTCACTGTACTGTTAGCTCTGAGCTGTGTGTGTGTTTTAGCAAGGTGAGAAGTGTTGTTAGGTGAATGATAGCCTGTGGGTCTGCCTGTTTCACTGATCCTCACCTTGCTCCACTATTGTACTGTAGCTGCCTGTCAGTCTCACACACACACACCAGCACCAAATTTAGTCAGCATCTCTAGCTCCCAAACCCCTCTCGCTCTCCCCCTCTCTCAGGTGTCTGAAATTACATCATCCTTCAAACAAATCGAACGTGACACCCATTTTCTCGTTTCTCACCTCACCTACTCTCTCTTTTTCTCACCCCCGCCTCTCTCTCTCTCTCTCTCTCTCTCTCTCTCTCTCTCTCTCTCTCTCTCTCTCTCTCTCTCTCTCTCTCTCTCTCTCTCTCTCTCTTCCCCTCTTTGTTTATGCAGATTGTAGTATACTGTAGTATTTACTGTAGTGTTTTTGTGGACTGTACTATACTGTAGTATTTACTGTAGTGTTTTTTGCGGAGAAATACTAAAAGAGTAAATGTTCAATAACCTGTAGGTTAGGTAGGACTGGGGGTCTGAACCAATGACGTATATAAACTTGATTGCTGATTCTATGTATTGGCCCATTGAAACCACCGGTCGGCCATATTGACACTCCCCAGTAGGAGCAGACCTCCATAGGAATGAATGGAATTCTACAGTATTTAAAGGACAAAATTACATGTATTTAAGTTTTTATTTTATTTTTGTAGTCGGGACAGTAACATTAGTACTAAAAAAAAAAATACTATAAGGAAAATGTTTTTATATATTTTTTTCATTTTATGGTTAGCTCACATAATATAGGCTAATTTAAAAGTATGCATTTAAGATTTCTGTAATATAATAAACATGTACAAAACTAATAAAGACATTAATAAATGCATTTCTATAGCTTCCCAAATAATGTTTACAATTGAGGAGGCATACCAAGAGGGCTACACAGTGGCTTCAATACAGCGCTCCCTGTCAATCATCCAGGGTTTGTACACATAATTGGTCTGAATGGATAGTTCAGCGCTT